GTCAGCTTACATCGCTTTCCTTAAGGATTGTAGCAGGTTTTGAAAAGCATAATGAAATCTCTGTTTTTGTTGATAGCATGGAACTTATCTCAGCTTGGGACAGGCAAGGTTTCAAATTTCGCCCTTTATTCAATGCCCTGCAGGGAATTTTTCCTTAAGTCTTGCATCCAATGTTTTCATAAATATCCATTAAACTCCTTTCTCATGCAACCCCAATGATTTTCCAACAAATCGCTTATCCTACATGGATGCCTCGATTTGGGCCAAAGTGAGGGGCATGTTTGGGGGAGGACCTGGCCATACTGTCCAATTTATGTCCCTTCCTTCTAATGTCCACTGTGACCTTTCTGGCCAGCCCCCCTCCTTTTTGTCACCTTATCCTATTCCCGGCTGTGCGGGTGTTAATATTTTTGCATAACATCTAGAGTCCTAGAGACTGAAGACCGAATTACAGAGTTTATGATACACATTAGCAGCTTACGAGATGAAATGTAACACGTTAAAGTCAACCTTGATGAACACGAAAAATACATACGACACAATATATTTGAAATAAATTGAATAGAACATTGGCCCATGTTCACAAAAGATGGAGCAATTAATGTCGAGGGGGGGTAGGGGTCGCATCATTTCCAGCCTTCACTCACGTCAGAATAGACTTTGTTGGAGTCCCACCTTAAAGAAGGCTTACATTGCATTTTCTCGTGCTCCTCTTCTCATATGACCCATCCACAACTTTCCAGTGGAAAATGGCCAATGCAGGAGTTGACAGATTGGTTCCTAGAAAATATGGCCTTGTTTGTACTGTAACCCTTGAGACAGAGAGGACGTCTAGGGAGATCTGTTCAGAGGCTGCATCGTCTAAAAGCGAGTACTACTGAGTTCATCGGAGATGAACTTGGTGACAGTGGTCCTAATGTGGGGACTCAAAATGTCAAGAAGTGGAGAAGAAACAAGCTTTGAGGAAACCAAGTCTCCAGCAGTATAGGAGAGATGGGAACAAGATTGCAGATGTTGCCTAAATTTTCCGTGAGAACTCACCAGTCACATTTTGGCCCTTTAGAGCATACAAATTGGATGTAGAGTGTGACCAATGCATGACCATGGTAAGAAAAGTCAACTACCTTCTCTGCCTGCGAAAGCTGGCTGAATTTTTGCATCCGAGGTCAGTTTGAAATCAGCCAAACCACGCAGAGGTCAGTTTCAAATCAAACTTTTTATAATGGAGCTCATAAACACAACTTCCTTCCTGTGAAAATACTGCGCCTGCGATCAATTGAAAACTAGTAACATGACAGTAAATGCCTTCAAAACAATACTGAACCTCGATGGGTTGATACCTGAGTCCGCAATGGTCAGTCAGGACAGCTGTCAATCATACAATGGATATGCAATATCAGGTTGCAGGCTCCCAGACTAGGTAGAATGTGAGATTAAACATTAGATTCCCTGTGGAGCGGATGCAAGGTCCTGCCCTGGTCAGGCTGATTTGGAACACCCTCCCCCAACCACCAAACAAAATACGTACGTGCACTGTACAATGACTCACAACCAAAATTCACAAATGCGTTTACAGGTTTACCAAATTTTCTTAACAGTGAGGTTCTGCACGCGCATGGAGGTCAGCTAAAAATGAACAATGACAATTTGTTAGGATTGCCTTGGTTTGGGTAGTTACACTATAAACTGTCACTAAAAACTCTCCTTTTCAGCCTACAGTCTTTCACAGAGAGCATCTCACTTGTAACGCCTGCTTAACCAGTGCTGTTTTTTGAACTTCCGCACTGTGTCATTTGTAGAAGCATTATAATTTCTTTGCAATCCCTCTTTTCTTGGCTGCTTGGATATACTGTCAGGTCAAGCTTCTTTGAAATAGAATCACCTTGGTGTATATGTTGTAGTTCAATTTTAACCTCTAGTTTAGTTTTTCAGACCAGCAGATTTCTTTTTGAACCAGTTAGTTTATTGTAAGATTAGTTTAATATTTGTGAATAAGTTCTCAACCAACTGCCTGAAAAAGGACCTTTTATTGTTTGGGGTGTGGATAAAAAATAAGGGCTTGGCTTCTTAGGGGGTTTCTGAAAACGAATCATATGCAAGAAGAAGAAACAAAAAACACAAGAATTTCCGCTGCACTCTCATCCACCACCCCCCTCATAGTTACCAACCCTACCCCACAGATTCATACATTTACCTCCCCTGACATACTTACCACTCTACCCTTACTCAGGAACAAGCTCTTTTTAAGTAAATTCATACTGAACTCATCACGATTTGAACCCACCAACCTCCAGATCTGTTGCCATCCGTTCTCTCCATTAGGCCATGCCAGATTTTGTTGGAATTTCTCCAGTTTTTGTTGCTATTATAATTTATTGGTCTCAAGCTCAAGTTCAAGTTTTTAAAACCCTTTGGATAAATATCAGACACCCATTAAAATAATCGTACACTTATACACATGTGCATAGATAGCACAAGCACCAACAGAAGAGAATGATGGGTTTCAAAAGAAATATTTCACAAAACATTTACATGATTTAAAGTTAAAACAAACAAAAAATGAATCTCTAATAACGTTTATTGCCCACCACTTTTTCAAAGCAAAGGCATACTTGAAACAGCAAGATGAAAAACGTCTCAGACTCAGTCAGCACAACAAGCCTCTTTAAAAGTGACCAAATGGAGATGAACACAATCATGCGGAAGAATAGGGCCTATGAAATGACTCGCCAGTAACCAAAGACAAAAGGACAAAGAAAGTGGTCTCCAAAGGACAGCTTCATGAAGTTTTAAGCCTTGCACACAGACGGGTCAACCGCTGAGGAAAACAGATTACCAACAAATGTATCAACAATAACTAGAGCAAAGTCGACAGGAAGGTAATCAGCCTTTTTGTTGCTTCATGCCATTTCTTAGGCTGAACAGCAACCTATTACCAGTCGAGTGAAATGGTGGAAAAACCTCCTCAGTCCCCACGTTTTCTTTCACTTTTGGAGAATGACTTACCGGATTTAGGAAACTGGCCATGCGATTGCAGTGAGCCTCACACATGGGCGATTAACGTCACAGATTATATGTTTCACCACTTATAAACAAAACTGCTGATGAGGTACTGAGACTCATCAAAACATACTGTTACACATATGGTCTCCCTCGCAATGGTAAGGATTTCAAGAACAAAAAAAAAACATTCTGCAACAAAAATGGCTCGCCACGTTCTCCAACACCGCAAGGGCTTGTGGAGAAAGCAAAGAAATCATTGAAAGAAGAAATAAGAACGCTAATAGTTTCCACTAATAGAGAAACCAACACATGGCGGCAGTCTAGTATGGAAGCTGCTTATGTAGGAAATATTGCCTACCACCGTGCTATGAAGCTGAGTCCTTGGGAGGTAGTATATGGCGTAAAACCACACAGCAAGCAGGTTACCCCTTCATTGTCACTTGACCCAAGACTGAAGTTAAAGCTCAAGTTACTACTTATAATGGCACAATAGATATTATGTAAGTGATGGACGGACAAAATAGCGCAAATCTATCAGTAAACATCAGGAATATTATGCACATGTCATTGGCTTGCCCCGGGGGTAGACCCCTGGCCCAACCAGGGGATGGATTGGATTCTCTGCCCCTGGGGAGGGGAAAATTAGCGACATTGTTTTTAGCTTGAAGGGAAGAGGGTGGGGAATTGCAATTTTTGTAAAATTGTGGACGGTAACCACAGGGATATCACGGGGATTTATCACTTTCCTCAAATCATTACTATGGGTAACACGGTGGTGCGTATGTACATGAATACAGAGACAGGCCTGGGAAAGTGATTTAAGATCATTCAACATGAGACTTCCCAAAATGGAGTCCGCAAGAACGGTCAGTTTCTATCGCTTTATTCTGCATATTTTCTTGTTGGTCTTGTTGGCCATCCTTCTCTGTCAGGTGGTAGATGATTCTAAAAAGAGGATTATCATTTTTAAGTTGATCTTTTTATGATTTAGATGATATTAATGGCATTATTTGTGGTTTGCATTATTTATGTTTGTACATGAGTGAACGTTTGGTGAGAGTAGCATAATAAAATAATTCATGTTTTATTTACTCTTTATTGGTTCTTGCTCAGTATCATCAATGTAAGAAACCCTTTGTAATTCGAAGTGCAATACACTTTCGGGGCTAATTGGAGAATTAAAAGTCGTTTTTATTACCGTAAACTCAGAGGAATCTGGCAAATCTCAGAGTTTTTTATTCAAAGGTTAGATGAAGCATGCTTCGAGTCTTTGGACGACATTAACAACAAAGACAGGCTGCTTTTGGTTTGTACTGCAATGGAGACATCACACGGTAGAAAAGGTAAAATGGTTGTATTTTTTTCAACTTTTGTTTGTCCTTTTTATGTTACTGAAATAGAATTTTGAGTGATTAAAGTAGAATTAAGGTTTAATAGTTTCAGTCCAAGCAAAACGAAGTGAACTAACAAATCAGTAATCAACTTTTCATACCTTTTCATATTCTTTGATCTAAGATTTGAAGTCGATGCCTTGAATTTAATTTTGTTTTAAAATTGCTTTCACTGTTTTACTTACATTATTGAATGAAAAACTCACAGAAAATATGTCAGGAAAACACCTTCTGACGAAAAAAATTTAATTTTGCAAGCCCGATTTTTTTCAAGCGACTGTGAAAATTGTAAACAAGTCATACCACAAGCCAAAAAAAAACCAAAACTAAAGTTAACCCGCTCTAATTCTCTTCTGGCAGAGGGAAATATATGTCTGGCATAGTATATTACTTTGATGAAACAGTTTTTCACTAAACGTTTTTTTTTTATTATTACACTACAAATCAAAAGAATAATACCAAAACTAAAGAAAGCTTTACCCGCCGACGGCGCTTTCTCGGTATATCAACCACTGAAATTAAACGGCTTGTAAACTACTGGAACTCTGGACCTACGAAGTTGAGGGACTGTTGGAATTTTTTGAACCTCTAAGGTTTCTAGGATTGCTAGGGCTTTGGCCTGTTGGGTTTCTAGGACTCTGGTCCTCTGGGAACTTGGGCCGTTGGGTCCTCCGGGACTTTAGGTCGTTAGGGTTTTGGGTCGTTAGGTATCTGGGCCTAAGTGGGCCCTTGGGTTTCTGGGTTTCTGGGTCTCTGGGCCCTTGGGTCTCTGGGTCTCTGGGTCTTTGGGTCTTTGGGTCGTCAAAGCATTGGATATTGCAGTTCAACATTAGACGGAAAATCAAATTTAAATATGTATCATGATCATAGGGTCTATGGGTCTATGGGTCTTTAGGTCTCCGGGTCTTTGGGTCTTTGGGTCTTTGGGTCTCTGGGTCTCTGGGTAAATCCCCTAGAGATCAAGATCATGGCAACCGATGGTTTTGACACTTTATTGTCGCGTCAATCAAACCGGCGAGGGGGGGGGGGATTTCTTTTTGAAGGGGAAGGGGATTTTTCTGGAGGATTTTTCCTCATTTTTTCCACGTTGATTTTGCATGACTCGCTCTCAGTGCACAATAAAATCGCCCAAAGCGCCCTCCCGAAGGAAAAAAATTGTCGACCCTCAGTCTGTGAGCAGGCTCGGAAAAGACGAAAAGGAACTTATACGGCCGAGTGAGAATGGAGGAGATGGCGGATGCAAGACCGGTTTATCAGTGACAGTTTATTTGAGTTAAACATCACATTACTAGGTGACCGGAAATCTATTGCACAACCTTGTGGTTTTATCAAGGTTCGCACCACATGTTTTCCTGGCTTAATAATTGGCAGTAATGTTGCGCCCCCGGGTTACGCTCTCCTTACTCAATTGTAATTTACAACCCCGGTTTAGAATGAGGATGAAACCATACAGGCTCTTTTTGTATGAATATTATGTACTTCAATATTCTGGTACAAAAACCTATTAAAATAGGTTCGTATATAAACCAAAAACTTAGTGTTTTTTTAACAGTTGACCCCACAGGTTTAATATTGAACAGTATGTAACGTAATATTCTGATTTCACACGTTTATGAATGTAAAATTGCAAGCCACGTGGAACGTCGCCTTCTCTTGGTTGTGTTCCCGATGCATGATGGCGGACAATACCATGTTAACCGTGGAATCTATCAAAAAAGAAGCGCAAAGCTGCAACATGCAGTGGAGCGAGATAGCTAATAGCGCAGTGACCGAGTGGTTTGCGACCCTTGCCAAAGCAAAGGGGACTTGTCCGGAATTTATTTTGGTGGGTGTTTTACCGACTGTAAGCGCTCTGATGGGCAATACGACAGTGCAAATATTTGACGGATACGAAGAGCGAGTCAATCTGTACATGCTTGGTCTCGGTGGTCCATCTACGTGCAAGACACAAAGTCATCGGACGTGTATCATAGAACCAATCCTAAACTACCTGGAGAGAAAAACTGGAGGAACCGAGCTACTCCTGGAAGACGCGTCTAATGGACTGTTCCGTTTTTTCACGAGGTCCACAGATCGTGTTGCAATAAGCGCCATTGACGAGTGCCAAGACTGGTTCAGAGAAGTACTTGGCATGAAAGGCAGTTCAACAGCCCCGTCGATGAAACGCTTACTGCAATGCTATGACAGCTCACATTGGTATGAAACCAAAGGCAATTCTAACAAAAGAATCGGCGTGTCTTCCGCAGCCTTAGCTCTGTCTTGTTTCACCCAACCCGATGCTTTCCTTAAGAGCATCATGCCTCGAATGGTAGCAAATGACAACGGGTTGTTGGACAGATTTCTGATCTGCATTCCACCGACGGAGCCCACTTCTCTGGAAACGCGCAGGGACAGCAGCGCGGAACTAAAGGATACAAACTTATCATCATTTGACCGCATATACGAACAAATATTCTCAACACACAGGAAGGCGGACAAAGTTAAATATGAACTATCGGCAGAGGCGCTGGACATCTACGTTAAGCACGTAGGTGAAAGCAACTGTGGAAATGGGAAAGGAAACACGAAAGATGAAAAGAACATCGTCCGCATCGCCGCAGTGATCCACGTACTTTTCACGCTCATTGACCAGGCCTTGTCTAAAACAACGGGAGTGGTGCCGGTGCAAATCAACCGGCATGTGATTAACGCAGCTATATCACTTGCACTTTATTTTGAGAAGCAACGAGCAATCATCCGTCAGGTAATTTTTGTGAACTTAAAAATTCTATTTTATAGACTGCTCGCATTATATATGTCCACAAATCGCATTTGAGAAATGAAGCTGTTACATGCGCACATGGTAAAGTTACATGTTGCAGCATGTTGGCATGTATTATGCATGCGACGCAAGTCTAGGAAATGTTTAAAAGTTTTCATTGTAATTGTTCTTTTGTTATATCATATGGACATACAATGTACAATGTGAATGTACATTATGATACGGTAAAAACTACCATTTGTTTGTGTTACTATATGCTTTTGTTGCCTAGAGCAATAACATAACTCTGTTTGGGATAAGCCTTGATTTTTTTTCTTTTTTATCAATTTCAGGCAGCTTCCCTCGGAGAGATCCAAGGAAAAAATAAAGTCTCCGATGAAGAGATTAAAGAGATGATTCTCCGGCAGAATGGCTACTTTGTCACCCCCAAGAGAGCTTCCCGTAAATTCTCCTCCCGGATAAGGCCAGATAGTACAAGGGTACAAGAGCAAATGAAGTCGTTGGAGGAAATGGGCCTTGGAAAGATGGTAAAAGTCGACAGGACCACGTTCTTTTACAAGGGTCTCCCAACTGCTGTGCAAGTGGACAAACTTGCTGCCTTTAGGATCAGCATTGACCAATATACGGAATCTATCAAACTCGTCGATGATAGTTATACAGAGATGTAAAGGGCAGCAGCGAAAGTCCACCACCCAGAATGGGATAGTGTCAAAAGATTCCGTGATTCCAATAATCTAAATTGACTTTGACTTTTTTGAATGAGCTTTCATTTTGGCGTTCCATTGCAAAGTAGTCAAATTACCAATGATGTTGAACTTAACATACAAAATGATTGTTCGTGTTTAATAATTTAAAGGAAAAACAGAAAAAAGCGTTGTTTTATGAAAGAGTTAATGATCAAAATGATTTTTATTGCATTCACTTCTTTTTATGGCGAGATTACATTGCCGTAATGTATCTGTTCGCCGATGTACTAAACATACAAAATGATTGTTCGTGTTTGATACTTTAAAGGAAAAACAGAAAAAAGCAATAATTTATGAGAGAGTTTATGATCAAAATGATTTTTATTGCATTCACTTCTTTTTATGGCGAGATTACATTGCCATAATGTATCTGTTCGCCAGTGTGCTTTTGCAATTTTTGAACTTAACATACAAAATGATTGTTCGTGTTTAATGCTTTGACAGAAAAAAAGCGTTATTTTACGAAAGAGTTTATGATCAAAATTATTGCTTTTGCATTCACTTCTTTTTATGGCGAGTTTGCATTGCCGTTGTATTTGTTCGCTGATGTGCTTTTGCGATTTTTTAATTGTTGTACTCGGTTGCAAAGTGATTAATAAATGATTTAACAGTTTGAAGCCCTAATTATCCGTCTGCATACTATCAAGTGGGATCGATCTCGTATTTGGGCGCGTATTAGAAGTCAATATTCAACTGCCCCCACCCTCTCCTCCCACCTCACCCACCACTACCAACAATTACCTGTGGGGGTCGGGCAAAACAGAGAAGCCCAAAGACCCAGAAACCCAAAGACCCAGAGACCCAGAGACCCACAGACGTAAAGACCCAGAGACCCAAAGACCTAGAGACCCAGAGACCCAGAGACCCAGAGACCTAGAGACCCAAGGACCTAGGAACCCAAGGGCCCAGAGACCCAGAAACCCAAAGACCCACCCAGAGACCTAACAACCCAAAACCCCAAGGACCTAAAGTCCCGGACGAACCAACGACCCAAGCTCCCAGAGGACCAGAACCCAACAGCCCAAAGCCCTAGCAATCCTAGAAACCCTATAGTTCCAAAAATTCCAGCAGTCCCTCATCTTCGTAGGTCCAGAGTTCCAACAGTCCCTCAACTTCGTAGGTCCAGAGTTCCAGCAGTTTACGAGCCGTTTAATTTCAGTGGTTGATATACCGAGAAACCGCCCCGCCGACCAATAAAGAAAATATAATACAAAAACAACTCCGAAAGACATCTTGCTAACTTAAAATATCATCATTTTGATCGACCAAAGATCCAAACCCTATGTATCTTAAATCTCATGTGATTTACAAACTGAATACATAGGCAAGACCGATAGATGTCTCAGAGTAAGATTAGATGAACACAGCTCTGACCATAATTTTGCAATGTTCCAGCACTTACAAAGCTGCAAGGGATGCAAGTTTTTGTTTTCTCTGAACAATTTGCCTGGTTGTTTTAACAAGAAAGCCGATGTAGCTTATTTCACTTCCCACGTTCACCAAACTATTTTGAATAATGCAACAATCAGTGCATACAATAATAACTATAACCAATCATGTTTTCTGGAATCTTTATTAATTAAGAGGTACATACCTCAACTTAACTATGGCATTAAAGCTTCCAAAGAGCTTGTATTGTTTTACCTTTAGGTTTAATGCGACTTTCAGCATTTTTGTTACACTTTCAAGCACATTCTTGTGACAATCATTTGTTTGCTAATTTTCAGTCACACCTTTCTGGCTAGCTCTCTATAAGTTCAACAATTTTCCATCTTTCATTTCACGTTTGATAATGGTCTTGAAAAAAGAGCCAAAATATCGCATTTATTTATTTTGCATCAAGTCTTCCTTATACTTCAGTATATTTTAAGTTAGCAAGATGGTTTTCGGAGTTGTTTTTGTATTATATTTACTTACTAAAGCACTAAGAGGTTATAATTTAAGGTATACCATAAAATTTATGTTCTTGGTAAGGAGGGAGTCTGCATGACTGCAAAAAAAAAGAAAATTGTTTGGTACAACTGACATGTAAATTTCTCATTTTGTTAGGGTGCATGATATAAAATCAGTGGTTTCAACAAATACTGAACCAGTCACCAGTGCAGCATAAAATAGGTGGTGGTTTTACAGTGAAACCGGTTGTTCGTTTGTGCGCCACTTTGCAATATTGTCACGCAATGTTGGTATTTTGATTGGCAGTTTGCTCCAAGCAAGTTTCGATTCAAATTTCAATTTGCTGCCTGAACAAACGGTTTTTCATATTGGAATATTGTGAGTTGACTGTGATGGCAAGCAACATTACCTCTGTTTCAAAGAGGGAAAAAGTAATTTCCCTCTGGTCGTCCGGCTATCAAAATAAAGGAATATGCTCAAGGCTTCACCTTTCACATCAAACCGTCTCCAATATCCTTTCAAAGTTCCTGCAAAATGGGACGGTGGCTGCAGGAAAACCAGGATGGAAAGAACGCACAGTCGCTACTCCAAATGTGGTGGAATTTGTGGAGTATAGCAAGGTTTTTACATCACGGGAGGAAACTGTTTGTTGACTGAGTTAGCATCAATCGCTGTAGCTATAGACGAATCACGTAAAACATATTAAAGTAAAAAATACAGTTGCAAACGAAAACAGTTTACTGCAATATATGTTTGTAGTTTTAGAGCTTGTTGTTCAGTTCTATCGATTCATCTTGTTTACATTCCTTCGTCAACATAGTTTTGCTCTATGATTGCCGCAATTACCCTTGCGATTCATATTATTTCAGTTTTATAATACTGTAGAACACTGATGCTTGGTTAAGTTAGTGAATAAACACAATCTTGCTTTTATTTGACATCTGTGTGTACTAAAAAGGTGTTTGTGTATACATTCCCACTGTCCGGTATTTGAACCCGTTCAAAACAATTATGAACTTTATTTTTATACTATAAATTTACGACATAACTCTCCATTGTGTGGAATTTACGAGGCTTTGGACAGAAAGTAACTTTTAAATGACAAATCCACAATGACTGAAAATGTTCTGCGAAATAGCTGGTGTGATTGTTTGCAAACCTTGAATAATCTCAAGTTCTGTGAAGTTAATTGAAAACTGTTCGTGTTGTCTCAAATATGCCTTCATCGACCTAAAACAAAACTCACAAGAATTAAACTCAGGACTATAAGGGGGTTGAAAAATTAATTCAACACCGCGATTTGTTAGCAGTAAGTGCAACTGGTTTTCCACGAAAACTCCCTGGTGAAAGCCACAGTTGTCCATTACAATAACATCTCCATTCGCCAAGACTGGATTCCCCAAATGGTCTACAGCTTGTAAACTTTCTTCGAAGAAATGAATCATTTCAAATCTATTAGAAGGGCCTTCCAAAATATTAAAGTTATCAATACCAAAATGGCTATGGAGAAGGTTTACAGTGTAGTTACAGTTTGAGGCGTACCGTTGGATTTCAACTGCTAGAAGGCCTTTCTTGCTATGTCCGTAACTCCGATTTGGCGTTGTTTTCACGACGGAGGTTTCATCAAAAAAATGAACCATACAGGGATCAACTCCCGACATATACATAATATAGTTCAAAGTTTTCAGAAGATTTTCATGAGTTAAAGATTCTGCAGGATGGACGGAAAGTTTTTTCCATGTGAATTGCAAGTCTTGTCTTACAATATTGGATATTGTTGAGCGAGCGGGGAGATTAGCTGGAGTACATATGGCATTGGCAAGTAAGCCTTGCTCTATTTTAAAAGTTCGTGTGCTTGGTTTATTTCTTCATTTCGATAGCCCGACGACCAGAGGGAAATTACTTTTTCCCTATTAGAAACAGAGGTTAATGTTGCTTACCATCACAGTCAACTCACAATATTCCAATATGAAAAACCGTTTGCTCAGGCAGCAAATTGAAATTTGAATTGCAACTTGCTTGGAGCAAACTGCCAATCAAAATACCAACATTGCGTGACAATATTGCAAAGTGGCGTGCAAACAAACAACTGGTTTCACTGTAAGACCATTCTAGTAAGCGTTCAGTTCATACTCAAGGCAAAATAGATCATCAACCACAACAGAACATCCTCCTCCCCCTTCAAGATCCTATGAGTGCTGTGATCATGAATCCAGAAAGATATTACGGGGTTAGGTTTCTGTGACAGGAGTGACATGCCTACACTTGCATTACAGTAAAAACCCGCGTGTAAGAACCTAGAAAATTAAGAACCTCCTGGCAGAAATTTGCTACTTTAATACCCCAAACTCTAAAAAAGTAGGTTCTTACACGCGGGTTTTTACTGTATATGACATTATCAGTGACTATTCCTGTTCTGTAGCTACTCAGAGCTCTGAAGTACAATAAAGGTTGGGTTACATCAAAGCCATATCTCCTGTGAAGAAGGCCACCTTTTCCACATTATACTAAACTACAGTATTCAAAGTAGTCACAACAATTTGTTTCAACCCAGCAACGAGACCCCTGTTAGAAAAGTACCACAAAGGAAAAACAACTGTCGGACTCCAAAAGATACGCTTTTCCATCAAGGATGCCATTGAAAGCATCATCATCTAAAACAACACAACTGTAGAACCTGTGGTGTTACCATGAAGCAGTTTTCATATCAAAAATACTATTCACTGTGCAGATTCAATCATGTCTGCTTGTCATTCAATTGTCTTACCGTCATTTAATTATGTCCGTTTCTCTTTTAATATGTCTTCTTGTCATTCAATTACTATATCTCATCGAGATTCAATAATGTCTCTTGTCACTCAATTACTATATCTCATCATGCCTTCTTGACATTCAATTATGTTCGATATTATCTTTCAATTACTACTTTTTGTCATTAAATTATCCCTGGTCATTTAGTCATTTAATTATAACTGTTTGTCATGCAATTTCTTACTTTACAGATTACATTGAATTATGGCTTGTTGCGATTCAATTATTCAATATTGATTCCATATCGAATGACCGCTTGTACCCGAGCCCGCAAAAGCACCGCTGATTACTGACTGACATCTTTGTGCAGGCTTCTTTGCACCTTTCTTGCACGAGATTTGAAAATGGCATCGAAGGAAATTCAAGATGTGAGCGATTCCGATGGAAAAGGAGAAAATTATCAACGAGCATTAACATTTTGAATGAAGCGGTGGATATCCTGAGGTCACCATGCATGTCTTCTTGTCATTCATTCATTCATTGCATGAAGGACTTCCCACACACCAACCACCAGTATGATGTTTGGCATCTCTCCAAGTGGATGGTCAAAAAACTTACAAAGCCAAACAAAAGGGTTGTGGGAACTGGCCCCTTGGATACAATCCATTTCCAATCGCCTTTGGTGGTGCGAAGGCAACCAGCGATGGGAATGTGCAGCTTCTGCGTGAAAAGTGGAAGTCTTAGATCACGTAGGCAACAAGCACAAGTGGTCAGGCAACACGCTCTTCCATCAGTGTTGCCACCGATGTATCTCTTCCTCTGAGGCTAAACAAATTTGTTGACTTAAGCCAGGCTCACAAGCTCACATAGCTTTAGAGGAAGTGGTACTAAATAAAAAGCTTCTTAAAGATCTGGCTAAACTGACTTCTGTCACACTGGTAAAACTGAGGTCTACCAGTCAATGATGCTGAAGTACGTCTCCAAATGCGAGCATTATTCTTACCAGGGCATGGTAGCTAGGACCCAGCTAGCCGCTCTAGAAAACAATACTAACACTGGCCATCGTCAAGCTGTGATAAAGTCAGGTGAATGGGCAGGTGACGGATGATACAAGCTTTGCTTCCCAAAAGCAAAGAAAAGATGGGTTGTCAAACCAATTAATGAGAAGAAATCATATCAGTTCTTGTCAGACGTACTTTCAGAAGTGCTCAGTCGTAATCTTGGAAACTAAGATGGGTCTTAGGTCTTAGTTTTCGAGTCTTAGTTTTCGTAACACCCCATCTGTGACACGGCCTCTTTAAACTTAATTAAATTTCTAGAGCCATACAGCATACTTAAATCATACAAGAATGAATGTGGAGTGAAAAATTAAGAAACGGGAGTGAACTGAAACAGTTCATCAATCATGTCTTTTATTGCCATACCCTTAATATGATATCCCTAAGCTATATGTTTTTTTACGCAGGATGGAACATTATAAACCCAGGACCTGATGCAGTTTCTTTCCAAGATAGACTATCCTTCTCTGGGAAATTGGCCAAGCACATGTAGAGATTGTGTCTTGGCCTTGAAGGATGAAATGGCTACTCATGTTGCCATCACAGCAGCAGCAACACTGCTTTCTCTTACTGTCAATATTATAGACTGGAATGGTGTAAGTAATCGGCATATTTACTACTCAAGTCAATGCCTAAGACGAATAATCATACTCATTTTAGTATGTATGTTGTATGTGTTTGCTATTCTTGACGCAGTCACTCCCTTTTTTGTAAAATCATAAGATACAAATTTGTTTGACTAGCATCTCATCTGGGGAGGGGGATTAGGAATACCATTCATGCTACAGAAACCGGTTTAATCTTTGCCAGTAGTGAGCCATTTGGCTTGTGAAGACTTACCTTACCTGCCTAAGAAACAAAATTGATAGTACTATTCAAACGTTCTGCCAAAGAGGTTTTATTTGAATGGTAACACCACAGGATTTGGTCTAGGAGTGAAACGATTATGTTGTCATTTTAATAGATGGGTGTTTATTTTGAATATAGTAGGTCCACATAAAGCCATTTGGTAATAAATAATAGTAATAAATTATAAAGAACAATAAGTAAAGACGATATTGATATCGGTACACATACATGTAGAATTAATAGCGATTTACAGATATTCATTACAAAGTCCTTTATTTTTGGATTGTAGAGAATAAGTATTGTAAAACCCTTCAGTAGCTCTGCAGGGAGTTCTGTTTGTCTACCGTGTACGAGGAACCATCATATGCCGCTTGGCAGCAAAGCCAGTAACCCAGTCATGGAAGACATGCAAAGTTGTGAAGGTAAAGGTTATGTGAATAGATAAGGATAGTTAGATAAACTAACGAGTGAATGAGTGAATGAATGCATCCATCAATAAGGGACCGGTCATTATTTATGTGGGGGGGATTTTGTTTGTTTTAGCATGAAAGAAAAAACATGACCCACCCCTTTAAGCCCATTAGTTAATTCTTGACCCACCCCCATATAACTTTATATAAGAGATGACCCACCCCCAACCCCCTTCAATCTACACCTCTATAAGGAGTTCCTGTTCACTGAACGAAATCAGCATATCTTGTGGACCAGTGTCCTACTCTGCGGCCACTTTTTGTTGATGTGCCTTCTTGTATTGTTACAGTATGACTGTTATCATCTGATTCACTTTAGCTTTCACTTTCATCCCACAAAACAAGGTCATTGTCACTGTCACTCTCATCACTGTCCTCACCAACACTGACGCTTGAAGGAAATGTAGATTCCTTTGAAGTCTCATAATAGTGTACTGTGATTCGCTTGATTTTGTCGATTTTCTTTCCGTTGTTGCTAAGTTTATTATGCTCAATGTATTTGTCCAACTCGGGGATTTTCAGAGTGTCAAGCTCCCCCTTCTCTACAAGTGTTTTCCGGTCATAGCAATGTACATCTTTTAAGGCTCGAACTTGCTTTTCTTTCCTTCGCTCTTGCTTACGGATCTCATTGACACTTTGCAGTGTCAACTCAACGTAAACAACCTTGCTAGGTTGAAGAGAAGTGCCTTTGAACATTTGCATATTATGAGGAATCAAGGACTATTTGCAATGGATGCGTTTGAACTTGTTGATAATACAATTAAAAGAGTATTGGATAGCTGAAAATCCTTGCTTTTTAGATGGTCAAAAAAAGGAGCTCAATAGCTCCATATTACAGTCAAACTACCTGAAGCATGAACACCTAGACATCATTATTGATTTCATTAATCGATTATTAAAAAAAAAAGTTTTGCAATATTCAAATCAAAACCAGTTAAAAAAAAAATGCTTTTTTAATTGAAGTCATTAAACAAAGAATAGTAATTCAATTAAAAAACGAATTTTCAAACTGTTTTTGATTTGAAAATTGGAAAAATTTGATTTCACTAAATTGAATAACGAATTCAATAATCTATTATTGAAACCAATAATGATTTCTAGCTGTTCACGCTTCAGGTAGTAAAAGTTCCCAGACAGCTATATTAAGAAAAGGAAGCATGCAAGCCTTATGTTTATTTATTGATATTTAGTGCCCACATCTTTGATTCTCCATACTTAGGTTGGATTGCTACATGTGACATCCAGTTGTGTTATATTTTATGTCTGGCATTACATTAGAATTTATTTAGATCTTCCACATGAATTGTAGTGAGTGTGATTCTTTACAAAACACACAATGACCCAACCCCAATCATCGTGAAATTCTCTTTTGGCCCACCCCTTTTCTCTAAAAAAAAGGCCTAACCCACCCCATGATTTTTCCCCCCCCCCCCCACATATAAATAATGACCGGTCCCTAATATTAATATTAATCAATCAGTCAGTGAGTGAGCGAGTGAGTCAGTTTGGGAGTGTTTGGTAAACGAAAAAATACATTAATAGAATGAAATCGCAAGAGATTAAATGAATGTGAAATGATAATACTACAGTG